TAGTAGTAGTATCAGTAGTAGTAGTAGTAGTAGTAGTAGTAGTAGTAGTAGTAGTAGTAGTAGTAGTAGTAGTAGTAGTAGTAGTAGTAGTAGTAGTAGTAGTAGTAGTAGTAGTAGTAGTATTAGTAGTAGTTGTAGTAGTAGTAGTAGTAGTAGTAGTAGTAGTAGTAGTAGTAGTAGTAGTAGTAGTAGTAGTAGTAGTAGTAGTAGTAGTAGTAGTAGTAGTAGTAGTAGTAGTAGTAGTAGTAGTAGTAGTAGTAGTAGTAGTAGTAATAGTAGTAGTAGTCGCAGCAGTAGTAGTAGTAGTAGTAGTAGTAGTAGTAGGAGGTCGTAGGTGCAGTAGTAGCAGTAGTAGCAGTGGTAGTGGTAGTATGAGAAGGAATCGCCCTCAGTCCGAGAAGCTCTCGCACATGTTTACATCGAATGTGCGCGGCGCTGAGGCGAGAACCACATTTCAACATCGGGTGACCATCAATCCGTGCAACTCTTGCACATGTTCAAAACGAGTGTACGCGGCGCTAAGGCGAGAGCCACATTTTGAAAACGGGTGGCCTTCAATCCGTGGAATTCTTTTTAATTTTTAAAGCGAATGTGCGTGGCTCTGAGGCGAGAGCCGCATTTTGAAAACGAGTCATTCTCAATCCGTGAAGCTCTTGCAATGTTTGAAACGAGGGTTCGCGGCGCTACGGCGACAGCCACATTTTGAAAACGTGTGGCCCTCAAGCCGTAACGTGTTCGCAAATGTTTAAAGCGAGTGCGCGCGGCGCTAAGGCGAGAGACGCATTTTGAAAACCACCCGCCCTCCATCTGTGAAGCTGCGGTCAATGTTTAAGCTTCAGGGTCATGAGTGGTGAGGAAGTCTGAGGCGAAACGCCCGGCCCTCCCCAAAAAATTGCCTCGGGGTGCGACAGGGAGAAATTATGTATGAGGAGAAGGAATGGAGGAGGATGCGGAGGAGGAGGAGGCGCAGTATGAGGAGGAGGAGGAAAAGGAGGAGGAGTAGGCGGAGGAGGAGGAGGAGGAGGAGGAGGAGGAGGAGGAGGGAGGAGGAGGAGAGGAGGGGACGAGGAGGAAAAGGAGCAGGCGGATGATGAGGAGGATGTGAGGAGGGACGAGAGGAGGATGGGGAGGAGGAGTTAGCTGCAGGAGGAGGAGGAGGAGGGAGCAGGAGGAGGATGAAGAGGAGGAGGAGGAGAAGTAGGAGAAGTCGGAGAAGGGAGGAGGAAAGAGGAGGAGGAGGGGAGGAGGAGGAGGAGGAGGAGCCAGATCCTTCCCCCAGGGCCATCCCTTCACCCCGAGTCGTTTTTTTCTGACGGCCTTCACGGGGGGCCCCGCAAGGGCCCCCCCCCCGGAGACCGAGAACGGCAGACACCTCCTGCCGTGAGTTTGCTCACGCCGCGGTGGCAAGAACCTCCCGCCGTGATCTGTGCAACGGCTCGATGGCAAACGCCTCCCGCCGTGACTTACGATCACGACGCGGTGGCATGAGAACCTCCCGTCGTGATCTTGGCCACGGCGCGACGGCAAAAGCCGCCCACCGCGATTCTTTTTGTTCATGGCGCGATGGGCTTCCCCTCGCCGTGATGTTTCCGCGACGCGTGCATGCGAGGGCTCCCTGTGCCTCAGCACTGGGCCCTGCGGCCTCGGCCTTCTTACCCAGCACCACTCCCTCTCGGGCCAAGGGGTGCAGGATGCGGAGGTTCGAGGAGCAAGGATCCAGGCTTGGAGAAGAAGCCCATCCCAGACATCCGCCGATCTGATCTTGTCAATCCGCGGCCCCAAAGGTCCCGACCCATTCCCCGGGAGCTGGCTTTTCGTCCCGGACCCCTTTTTCACGGCCCCTGGGCCCGAGAACGGGCCCTGGAGGCCGCAATCCAGGAGACACCGCTGGACTGAACAGCATCAGGCTGGGGCTCACTGCTCCCGGCGTGCACTGGCGCTCGCAGTCTCGAACCGCGCCCTCCCCTTGGCATCGCTCGGACGTGTGATTTTTCTTTTTCTCGGCGAGGGCCCTGGAGGAGCCTCTTATTTCGGTGTCGTGCGTGTTTTTGCTTGGACCATCGAGCAGGCGGAGGAGGAGGCGGAGGAATAGGAGGAGGAGGAGGAGGAGGCGGAGGAGGAGGAGGAGGAGGAGGAGGAGGAGGAGGTCACTCTTCGGGCCGGGCCGCTCCGTGAGGCTCCCGGGGGGCCCGCCGCGGGGCGACGACGCCCGGTGGGAGAGCCTGGCGACGCCAGGCTCTCCTGCTTTTGCATCGGATCATCGGCACCGAAACATGCCAGGGAACGGACGTCCGAGCGATGGCAAGCCCCAGGCGAGGCCGAGGGCGGCGGCGCGGGCCAGTCGCCGGCTCCCGGGGGCGCCGGCGAGGGGCCCGCGGGGGAGGCCCCGCGGGCCGAGGCCGCCGAGGGCGTCGGCCGCTCCGCGCGGCCGCACAAGTCCCTGGCCACGACGACCGCGACGGTCACCACGGCGGCCACGTCCAGCTCCGACGAGGACGAGGACGGCCAGAGGAGGAGGAGGAGGAGGAGGAGGAGGAGGAGGAGGAGGAGGAGGAGGAGGAGGAGGAGGAGGAGAGTGAGAGGGAGGGGAATGGGGAGGATAAGCTAGGTGCGCTCGCGTGATATCTGGCGTTCTACCCCTCCCTCCCGTCCCTTACCATGGCGTAGATACCCTTCCTATTCGCACAATCGGATGTCGCAGCATGGCGTATCATTACATGGCATAGCATGGTGTTGAAGATCAGCGCGTAGCATGCATGACATAGCGTGGCGTGGCGACGCCTCAAAGTAGGGGGGGCTTCTACGGCCCCAAAATCACCGAATCGACACCGGATGTGTAATCACTTCCGATGTTATTTCGGGAGGCATTTTTTTAGGTTTTGGGGCTTGTTTGGCAGGGCCGACAACCATGCCGTGGCATGGCACTGGAAATAATGACGCCAGCTCTGCAGCGGGAGCACGATTCGGGACGAGCGGAAACGCCGAAATGAGGCCATTGCTGCAGCGGGAACACGATTCGGAAGAGGGGGGGAGGGAGGTTGAGGGGCGGAGGAGGAGGGGAGTGAGATAGGGGTGTGGATGGGGGTCTGGGGATAGGGGGGATAGACCGCGGGCGGCCACGTCCAGAAGAGGACGGCGAGGGGAGGAAGAGCGCGCGCACGAGTTTTTTGGGTGTTGAAATCTGATGATGCGAAACCGTGTGTTCTCGACTGTTTTTTGGACATTCGGTTTTGGAGTTTCTACGAAGCCGAAGGTTATTGACGGATGTCGGCATGCGCGCGCGACGACGCGCGCGTGCATTTCATTTCTTGCAAGCGATTCTCGCGGCGGCACGCGCGCGAGGGCGTTCGAACGATTTCGAAATGCGTGTGCGCGAAGCCCGTTTGGTTGTATTTTCTTCAACTGTTGTAAACCCACGGGTTGCTTCAGAATTCGCGAGAGCGCGCGCGTTTTGTTTGTGTGCGTGGGTGTATGTGTGTGTGTGTGTGCGTGCGTCCGTGCGTGCGTGCGTGCGTGCGTGTGTGTGTGTGTGTGTGTGTGTCTGTCTGTGTGTGTTTTGGTTGACAATCCGCGTTGCGAAGGCATGTTTAGTATTATATTCGTATTCTTATCATTATGCTTATTAGTTAAAACTAAACTGTATAGATATGTATTTCGGACTTTCGATTTTGCAATCCTTCCGCACCTCGATTTTTTGAAGGATTCCAGCATGCGCGCGCGACGACGCGCGCGCGTGCACTTCGTCAATTTTTTGCAAGGGGTTCTCGAACACTTATGATTTTGATAAACGAGTGTGCGCTCATCGTATTTTTTCCAGAGGGTGATTGGCGGGGGGGGGTCGAACCTGGCTGGGCTGGGATGGTATGGGCTCATATTTCGTATGGGCGATGGGGCAGAATCATATGTGAATTGCAACACAAAGGTGTGCTCCGATAAAGCTGGGGGGATCTTATTTTCTTTAGAAAAGGAGTTGCAAGACAAATCCACGCGGTGCAACCTTCGTAATGCAATCTATGCGATGCACCCTACGTGGTGCAATCAATGTGGTGCAATCCACCACCGCACAGACATCCCACCCACCCGCGCGCAACTTGGTTTGCAAATCCCATGCGGCGGCGATTGCGATGAGTGCTTGGCGCTGGCTGGTGCGTCTTTGCGGCCGCGACAGCCCGCGCGTGCTCGCGCGCGCAGCGGCCAGCTACTCTGGCGCGACCGACGCGGTCGCGGTGGCGCTGACCTTTGGGCGCATCCCAGCTGGCCCTTCACTGCGAGTCGGTTGTTGACAACGACGAAGGCGCCCTCGCGTCGGCGATGCAGTTTTTAGACAGAGTTGGGCACGCGCGCGCGGCCGACGCGCGAGAGTGGCCCGCATAGGTGTTGTTCGACGCGGATCGTGCCCCCCCTCCCAGCACGCGCGCAAGGGCGCGCGAATCATGCCGGCATGCGGCTCGAGAGCCTTGTCTAGCAGAGTCCCATGGACATGTTGAACAGCTCACGGTTTCTTCAAGAATTCGCAAAGGCGCGAGCGCGCGTTTGTTTTGAAATCTGATGTTGCGAAACCATTCGTTGTTGCATGCTTTTTGGACACTGGGTTTTGAACTCGTTACGGAGCCAAGCGTTTCTGACAGATTTCGGCGCGCGCGCGCGACGGCGCGCGCGCGTGCATAGTAGCTGTTTTTTTGCGAAGTTTTCTCGCGATGGCACGTGCGCAAGGGCGTTCGGAATATTGATGTGCGCGCGAAGCCCGCTTGGTAGCACTTCGTAAACATGTCGAAAACAACCCATGTTTGTTGCAATAATTTGCAAGAGCGCGCGCGTAAGGTGTTTTTTGTTTAACCCGCGTTGCGGATCAATGCTTTAAGACATTCGACTTTAAGATACTTTTTACTTAACAGCTTGTCCTGATAGGTTTCTAGTAGGGTCAAAAGAGAGCATCATGACACTCCAGAGGGGGTCCGGGCGGAAGCCAGCAGAAACCGGGAGAATCCGGCGGAGCTCATTCCGTGCGTGCAGGTACGCACGGGAACCACCTCGGCGCCATCGGAGGTGCGTTCCGTGCGTGCAGGCACGCACGGGAGCCACCTCGGCGCCATCGGAGGTGCGTTCCGTGCGTGCAGGTACGCACGGGAACCACCTCGGCGCCATCGGAGAAGCGTTCCGTGCGCGCAGGTACGCACGGGAGCCACCTCGGCGCCATCGGAGGTGAGTTCCGTGGGTGCAGGTACGCACGGGAGCCACCTCGGCGCCATCGGAGGTGCGGCTGAGGCTGAGGCTGAGGCAGGCTGAGGCTGAGGCTGAGGCTGAGGCTGAGGCTGAGGCTGAGGCTGAGGCTGAGGCTGATGCAGGCTGAGGCTCATGCAGGCTGAGGCTGATGCAGGCTGAGGCCGCAGGAGTATGCGGGAGCGCAGCAGGCTGAGGCTGAGGCAGGATGAGGCCGAGGCTGAGGCTGATGCAGGCTGAGGCTGAGGCAGGCTGAGGCCGAAGGGGTATGCGGGAGCGCAGCAGGCTGAGACTGACGCAGGCTGAGGCTGAGACTGAGGCTGATGCAGGCTGAGGCTGAGGCAGGCTGAGCTGACTTGTTCCATATCTGCTCATTCACATGGCTGTTAGGTTGCTTTGCTGGGATAATTTGTAAAACAAGTTTTTTGTGTGTATATGTATATGTATATGTATATGTATATGTATGTATATATATATACATATGTATCTAAATGAATAAATGAATGCATGAAAATGTGCGCGCGCGACGTCGCGCGCGCGTGCACTTCGTCATTTTTGTTGCAAGGGGTTCTTTAATTTACGGTTTTTGATAAACGAGTGCGCCCTTTCTTTGTTTTCTTGCAGGGGATGGCGGGCAGGGGCGGGGGGGCGGATGCCGGCTTGGCTGTGATGATGTGGATTCATTTTTTGGATAGGCAATGGGGCAAAATCGTATGCAAATTGCAATGCGGCGTAGGGGAACCGATAATCCTGGGGAGGATCCCGGGGGGGTAGAGTTTATTCCATTTGGTTGAAAGAATTTTCGCGACGGCGCGCCCCGCCGATCGCCAACTGTTTGCAGGAATCGGCTTGCCGCCGATCAAATGAGAAGGCGGGGATCGTTCCTGAGCGGGAGGCTCATTTGCAAGCCGGGAATCACGGCGCGCCTTTTTCGGCACAGGGTTGCTTGAGATGGCGGCGAAAGGTCGAAAAACGACGAACTACATGAACGCATAAAGTTTTGGCGTTCCGCGCGGCTTTCTTACATCTGCGCCGGGCCCCCCCCGTGGCGGTGCCTCCGGCGCCGCCCCCGGCGCGTTCCGCGCGCCGGGGAGGGGTTGCCAGCCCGCGTCCAAGGCATCCGAGCGGACAGTTCATGCTTGCGCCGTTTTTTCTTGTTGTAGAAGGGGACTGGGCGGAGGAAGGTGCCGCGCAAGTAAGCTTGGCAGAACCCAAGTGGGCGCTGGTCGGAGTTCTGGTTGACTGAACCCACCTGGGGGCTGCCGTGGTCGGCGTTTTTGGGGAGCGCGCTGGCTTGGGCCGTATCTCTTAGTTTTAGGTCGGGCGTGGCTCTCCGCTGGAGGAGTTCCCAAGACTAGCAACAAACGGTCTGGTGATGATTGTATTCTTTACTTTTAAATGTCAGCCAGAGCGGACCCCAAACAGTAGGTTCTTGCAGTCTGAGTCTACGTGGTGCAATATATGTGGCGCAATGTATTCGATGCATCCTATGGAATGCAAGTGACTACCCTGCACCGCGCTTGACCACCTCCACTGTTCGCGCAAATATCCCACCCTCCCACCCGTTACTTTTTTGGCAAAACTCACGATGCGGTGGACGGCGGCGCCAGTGATGACGACATCGATGATAACATCCTCATTGCCGATGCTCGTCACCGTGAGTCGATGACGAACGTAGGCGACGACGACGACGACGACGACGACGAGGCAAGAGCGCGCGCGCACGGTTTTGTGGAAAATCCGTGTTGCGGAACCTTGTGTTTTTGTAATTTTTTTGGACACGATTTTGAATTCTTTCCGAAACCAATGGGTTTTGAAGGATTTCGGCATACGCGCGCGACGATGCGCACGTTTGCACTTCGTCCCGTTCTTTTGCAGAGGATTCTCGCGACGGCACACGCGCAAGGGCTTTCGACAGATTTCGACACGCGCGCGCGAAGCCCGTTTGGTTGCATTTTGTGGAACTTTTGAAAAACCAATGTCTTATTAAGATTTTGCAAGAGCTCGCGCGGAAGTTTTTTTTAGCAAACCAGTGTTGCGAAACCATTTTTTTTGTGTGTGTGTGTGTGTTTGTGGAAGCTCGATTGCGAAATCCTTCCGACACCAAAGGTTTTTGAAGGATTGCGGCATGCGCTCGCGACGACGCGCGCGCGTGTGCACTTCGTCCAATTTTTTGCAAGGGATTCGCGAAGAAAGTCTTATGTCAGAACAAGACATGTCCCCGCGTATTGCTGTTGACTCAGGAACCTCAAGTGGGCCGATACCGCCTCCCCCGGGATA